CCCGGCCCTCGCTGCCCCGGGCTGCCCGCCTCTCACGCTCTCCTCTCTGGCAGCGTCCTGCTGTCGGTGGCCCAGCTGTACTGGCGCTCCTCCTCGCCCACCATCGCCCTGCCTGTGCTCCTGCAGGCCCTGGCCCTCTCCAAGGAGTACCGGCTGCAGAACCTGGCCTCCGAGACGGTGCTCAACTTGGCTTTCGCCCAGGTAAGCCGACTCCATCTGCCTAACACCCGTTGGTGTTCAAGGAAGCCATGGTGGCACTGATGCGTTTGGGTGCTGGCTGCAGGGTTGGCAGTTGGAAGCTTCCCTCTGCACCCTGGGGGAAGATGAGGCAGTCTGCCTGCTCGGTCACAGTGTGGACATCCTCGTGGGCAGCTCAGCTCTGTCCTGAGCGGAGTCTGTGCGAGTGGGGATCGCTCAGGGCAGGGCTTTTTTACTGCTTCTGAAAACCCACTAGACACGCAGCATTGGGGCGGGTCTAACTTGACACCACACAACAAGCACATAATCTTTCTAAAGTGTGAGAGAGTCCTGGGCTGTTTGTGGTTTCCACAGCAGTCCAGGGTCCTGCTGAGCCGTTTCCCTGTGTTGCTCGCTGCCTGGTGAGATACACGCTTCATGAAGCGGGGCCTCGTCCATCTGCTTGTTCTGTGTCCAGTCGATTGTGTCTGCCCCTTCAGGCTCGTCCTCGTTGGAAGGGAATTGTTGACCATTTGGCCGCCCTCGGTGAATTTTAAAGGCGCACAGCACTCGGGGTGACATTCCTGATGTTGTGAGCTAGTCTGTCCTTCAGCTGCGGGGCGGCCTGGGGGCCGTTTTGGGCGGCCTGGGGGCCGTTTTGGGGGGATTTGAGGAGCACCTCAGGGCAGTACTCTTGGGAGTTTTCCTGCTTTCAGCCAGTCCAGGAGGTCTAGGTTTTTTTCTTTCCTTTTTAAGAATTTTGAAGTTCTGTTCTCCATTTTTCTCTCATCTCTTGGGGTTCATCTAATACAGCTGTAAGTAGAACAGCTGGTCAGTACAGTTTAAATGTAAAATAGTATACATTTAAATGATATCAGTTATAGCGTTGGACAGCCGTCATTGTTACACGTCTCCTCCCTCAGCAGCTCTTGGCACCCCTGCGCCTGGGCTGGCCCCCTCTAGTTCCCATCACTAAGCCTGGCTGTTCTGGACTTTTCACATCCGTGGACGGTGGTGTGTCCCTTTGTGTCGGCCTTTTTCTCACTTAGCGTCGTCGTCCAGGGCTCTTACTGTAGCTGGCGTCAGAACCTCACTCCTTTTATGTTGCGTTGCTGTTCCACTGTCTGCGTCCACTCTCACACTCTCACGGGCCGTCCAGCCCTCAGCTCTAGGATGTGTGCATCGCTTGTACTCTTTGGTGATTATGGATAATGCTTCTGTGAACGTTAGCACACACGTTAGAGATACGTAGGCCTGGGAGTGGAACCGTTGCATCATGTGGTTGCATCGTGTGGTAGCGGCCTGTTTGCACAGAGCAACACTGTCTTACTCCCACCACAGTGCGCGGCTCCACTTCCCACATCCTCACCGGCACCAGCTTCTGCCATCACACAGGATGGGGCAGGGGTCACGCCTCTCGGTGGGAATTCATGGGGTCGGTAGGAATTGTGCGTGACTTGGTGGCACCTACCAACATAGCCATGGGTTTAAGAGGAACTGTCACGGCGTAGTGAGTCAGGAGTTGGGCCGCGACCCCAGAGGTCTGAATCCAGCCCCTGCTCCAGTGGGGAAGGACGGGCAGTCTCCTTGGATCCAGGTTACAGCCTCTGAAAACCTGTTGGAGAGTCAGCTGTGCTCCAACTAGACGGCACTGAGCTTGAGTCAAAGGATTTGGAGGGTGTCTGATTGCTCTCCAAAGACGACAGACGACTGGACAGCAGGACATTAAAAGGTGCCCGGCTTCGGCGTCGCCACAGCCCCGCAAGCCCAGCCCATCATGGTTTCATTTCCCTAGTGACTGACGAAGGGAGCTGTGGGGGTTCCGCTGTAGAGCGTTGCACAGCCAACTCGGGCTGCACCGCTCTGGTCGTCCGAATGCCCCCGCGGCTCCGAGGGAGGCAGGTGGGCCTGGGAGGTTTACAGCCTGCCGGAGGGTCAGCTGTCAGTGGGCTCCAGCTTGACAGCAGAGAGGGAGGCTGGCTGACGGCGTTCGGCATCCACCTGCCTTTTCATTCACCTGTCTCTTTTAGAGACATGTCTCTGCAAGTCCTTTGTGCATGGACGATTTGTTTTTTATCTGTCTTTTTGTTGTTGAGCCGTCAGAGATCTTTATATATCCAGGCTGCTGGGGTAGAGTTGGTGAGGAGGCCTCTGGGCCGGGCAGGGTCTCGATCTGCTGTGCGTTGGGTTGCTGTGAGTTGAAGCTGTCTCCGTGGCTGCTAACAGCAGCAGACCCCGGGCTGATTCATGATCTCCACACATTTCCTCCGTTACATGCGTTGTCGTTACACTGTCTTGGTAATGAATGTTGAGATACAAAACTTGGTTTTGTGAAGCTGCCTTTTTTTTTTACCCAAGAATATGGAAAGCTTTATTCTCTTGTTGCTGTACTATAAATGTCCACCAAGAAACTAAGGAAGAGATCCTTTTAGTTTCTGACATTCCTTTCTCTGGTATACTTATTTTTTTTTCTTCTTAAAATGAAGCTGCCTTTTATCCTTTGATTTGTTTTGGTGGTTTCTGGTTCTGGCGGCGGGCGTGAGTGGGTCCGATGAGGATGCCCACGTTCTTTCTTTTTTAGCTCATCCTTGGAATCCCAGAGCAGGCCCTGAGTCTCCTCCACATGGCCATCGAGCCCATTCTGGCTGACGGGGCAGTCCTGGACAAAGGCCGCGCCCTCTTCTTGGTGGCCAAGTGCCAGGTGGCCTCAGCAGCTTCTTATGACCCGCCCAAGAAAGCAGAAGGTAGGTGGTCATACCGTCATCATTGGGAAATGCCATCCAAGAAAATGTAGAGAAAAGGCATTCAATCTGGGACAGAATTCAGATCCCTAATCTTCACAAATACTTATTAGAATTTCAGGCAGCATTAGACTGTGCTCACGTACATGCTTGGAAGGAGGGCTGAGGGCAAACAAATGGTTATTGTAACCTTGGAGAGCTAGTTTCCAGTTTTTAGAAACCAGGGCCACAGGCTTAAGAAAAAATACATCTTGCCCTGATGTGTTGTTTGGGGAGCTCTGGTGGCCTAGTGGCAAGATGCTGCTACAATCCCAGAGGCACGCGGTTCGAGGCCACCAGCTGCTCTGTGGGAGAAGGATGGGCAGTCTCCTCCCAAGCAATTAACTGCCTCTGAAAACTCTCCAGAGAGTCAGCTGTGGGTCATTCTGACTCGACTGTACACACCAGCGTGTTAGCTTATTTTCTCTGAGAGAGGAGGACAGAACATTGACTAGTGCATGTTAAACAAAGCTAGCTGGCCAGCAGGAAGACCGTTCCCAGAGTCGATGAAACGTGTGTGGTGTTTGCCCCCTTCCACCAGCTCTAGAGGCTGCCATCGAGAACCTGCACGAAGCCAAGAGCTACTTCGCCAAGGTCGACTGCAAAGAGCAAATCCGAGACGTGGTCTACTTCCAGGCCCGGCTCTACCACGCCCTGGGGAAGACCCCGGAGAGGAACCGCTGCGCCATGCTCTTCCGCCAGCTGCACCAGGAGCTGCCCTCCCGCGGCGTGCCCCTCATCAACCACCTGTAGACACACCAGGTGCCGCCCTCCTGCAGCTTGCCCCTCACCAGTCACCTCTACCAGGTGCCACCCTCCTGCAGGGTGCCACTCACCAGTCACCTGTAGCCAGGACCTTGCGGGTTCTGCAGAGACTGCCTCCCTGGGGTTGACGCCATTGTGATCTCTGACTCTCCTGTAAACACACTGCCCTCGGAGCCACTGTATTTTGTTCCTGGAAAATAACACATTGTTGTGTTGTCCCCTTTCCTCCGTGGTAGCAGAGGACACCCCATTTTTGTTAATAAACGGCTCTTTTGCTAACCTAGTCCAAGTGTCAGGAGACTTAGGAGGCTGCTGAGACTCCGCTATCTGTGTCAGCACTTGGGTCTCCCCGCCGGCTCCCACAGTGTTCTCCTGTATCAGGGGCCTCTCCAGGGGTCAGTACGGGTGGTAGGAGGCTCAGGTGCTCTGTCCGAACCCTCCGCTTCACTGCATCCATGTGTAGGCTGGGCCTGTGAGCGTTTGCACCCACACGTCGGTCCCGGCCGATTCAAAAGGGAAAGATCTTTTCATAATTTTCAAATCAGTGTCAGGAAGGTATGTTTCTGTCACTTTCTAGGTGCTGACTTTATTACATCTTTTGTATATTGTTCCTGTATTTAATAAAGGCTGATAGTAAACCTGGGAATTCCAGCTGGTGCTCATGGTTAAGAAGGTGGCTACTAACCAAATGGTTGATGGTGTGAATCTACCCTGAGGTACCTCAGAGAAAAAGCTCTGGTGGCCTAGTGGCAAGAAGCTGCACTGCACTCCCAGAGGTGCACAGTTCAAATCCACGAGATGCTCTGCTGGAGAAGGCGGGGCAGTCTCCTCCTGTACCAGTCAGATCCAATTTGACGGTGCACACACAAGAAATAATAAAAAAAGAAAAGGCCTGGCGGTCTGCTTTCCGAAGGCCCCGGCTCCGAACACCGTCTGGAGCACAGGCGGACTGTGCACAGCGAAGCTGGCTCTGGGGTGGCCGGCTTGGTTCTGGTGTCTGGACGATGACTCTCGTCCAAGGTGGTTATACTAGAGGAGCCAGAGCTCAGGGGTACGTGGAGGCTGCCCAGCGTTTCCAGGCCTCGACCTGACAATTCAGCCAAAGCCGGTTACTGCTTTGTACACTCAGGAAACGATCTTATCCTAAGTGTCTGGAAAGATTGCTGCATTTCAAGTGTCAAAGCACCTCTGGTCCTAAAACAGTCCTTAGAAAGCAACGAGGAAGCAACTGAACTTTGCAGCTCGTCACCGACTCTGTTCAGTCTCCGCCTTGACTGGGCATGAGTTATCTCCTGAGCCTCTGAAACAAAGCAAAACAACTCCCGCCCCCGGAGAGACTCCTGTAGAGGCAAGGACAGCCCTTGGCATGCTGATGCTTAAAAAGATTTCTATGTTTTTTTAAGAAAGTTCTCCCTGTGTATAGTAAAAAATAAATGTCATTGAAAGCTGTGTGGTCAAAAATTAATTCTTTTACCAGTAACTGCTATTTTGTTTCCTTTTGTGTTTACAAATATATTCTTGCCTGATGCTACTTTCAGTGGAGGTAGTTAAATGAGATCCTTCTGATCTGAGCTGACTTGACTTTAGCAAACTACTTCCACAGAATGACAGCCAAGAGGTGGGCCAGCGCTGTCTCCACCAGGACCATCAGGGAAACCAGGCCACACCACAGCTGACCAGCACCAGCTTGTGGAGGTGGGGCCTGGGGCGGGGTGAATATGTGAGGTCTCAGGGCGCTCTGGGGGCCTAGTGGCAAGAAGCTGCACTACAATCCCGAAGGCACATGGCTCGAATCCACCAGATGCTCTGCTGGAGAAGGAGGGGCAATCTCCCCCTGTGCCAGTCGGATCCAATTTGACAGTACACAACAACAATAAAAAAGGAACTGAGGTCTCTGTTGTAAAAGGATTAAGAATTTTAAGATGGCAACTGCAAAGCATGGAAAGCAAGGGTGTAATCTCCTAAGAGCAGGGTGCCAGGTGATTACAGAACTTGGATGCTGCCAAGCTCCTTAACCACTGGGCTCATCTGGGGACTTCTGTCCCCATTTTACAGATGGGCCAACTGAGGCCCAGAGCTGTGGTTCCTGCCAGCCCAGCAGGAGGGCAGTCAGAGCCAGGATTCCGTCCCAGAGCCACCCAGCTTCTCGTCCCCAGCCTGCCTTTGCATTCACCTCTGCACTTTTGAATATTTGTGCCCTGTCAGAGTGTTTTTAGCTGGATCCAGTATTTCCGAGCATTTTAAAGTTTGGCCTGAGGGTTTCTGGAGTGGCATTCATTTTCTTCCTTGCAGATCTGCTCTTAAGACACACGAGAGCTTCCTCATCTCTGACTTCTCCTTTTATGATGTTATTTATGTTTGAGACCAGTGAACGCATTCGTCTGAACTGCCCATTGAAAGGCTGCTCCTCTGGGTTCTTCCCCCGCTGTCCTGCCGCCTGAATGGGAGACTGCAGCAAGCGGAGTACCCAGCGTGACCGATCCTGCGACCTCTGGACACCCAGCTTCAGGAGGCACACTGGTAAGTGGGACTCAGAACTCGGAGAGGACGGGCGGAGCCCTGGCAGGAGCGCCCTGGTCAGCCCCGCGGTGAGACCACTCTCCAGTCTTCCTTCTCAGCCCCCTCCCTCAGACTCTCCCGAGTTTTCTTTAAAAATAAGATTCAGATGTTTTGTTTGCTTATTTTCCTGGCAATCTGTGTTGTCAAGACAACAGGGTCTGTTTGCCCAGAATAGGATTTTTCTGGTGTTCTTGGAGGAGGAAACACAGCAGACAGAGCAAACACTTAGTTGCTATCCCAGGAGAAAATGCCTTTCCCGAGTGGGGTGTTCCTGCCGCGCTCGCTGTCCGACCCAGAGCAGCCCCCGGCCAGTGGCTCACAGCCCTGCCTGACCCCGCGTCCTCCTCACTGTCGGCTGTGTCCGTCATCTCCTGGACGGTCTGCCTGTCCTCTGCACATCCTCCAAGCACAATGTCCTCGTCTAAGGACTGACCTCTCCTGATAACACCCCAGAGGACGTGAAACAGTCTCGTCAGCCTTGCCTCTGAGGAGCCCTCCGGCCGCATGTCCTCCCGCACTGACTGACGTGGTCTCCCCATAGTCTGTGTTCTCCAGCACCCCGAAACCTATCATAGGAGGGGCCGACGCCCCCAGCAGACCATAAAGCCCCCACCAAACCAGACCCACGAATGTGGAGCCCGTGTCAGCGCAAAGCGACCCTCCGTCTGGTTTACGAGGCTGTAACGCTCTGTGGGACGAGACTGCCCATCTTTCTCCCTCAGCGTCTGGTGGATTTGAACTGCTGACCTTGGGGTTGGCAGTGCAGTATGTAATGCCTGTGCCACTGGACTCCTCAGAAGAACGCAGCCGGTGTTCTCTGATTGTGCGTCACTTTGGTAAGGACGGCGTGTAATTGGCGGGCGTTGGTAGCTCTCTGCCACGTTACGTGAACACCATCCTGGGCACAGACGCAGCACGCGCTAAGTTTGTAACCCAATTGTCATATTTAAACCTCACACCCAGCCTGCCAGGCAGGTGTGATTTTGGTCTGTTTAATAGAAGGTAAAATCAAATAGGTTAAGTCGTTCACCAGACCCACTGAGCTGGGGAGAGGTGACGCTGGCATTCAGGGTGGGCCAGCCTCCAGAGCCACTGCTGCCTGCACAGGGCTGAGACCATGCACACGCTCTGGACGAGTCTCCTGCGTTCTGGGGCGTCTAACAGGTACTCACTCGGCTACTAACTGAAAGGTCCGCAGTTGGAACCCACCAGGAGAGAGCCGTCTGCTTTTACAAAGATTGACGGCTCTGCAAAAACTTGGAGGCAGTTTCGCTTTGTCCTGTAGCACCCACCACTCCAAGAAGCCTGGTGATGTCGTGTGTTAGATGTTGGGTTGCTAACTCAAGGGTCAGCTGTTCAAACCTTCCAGCCACAGCAGGGGAAAGATGAGGCTGCCTACTCCCGTAAAGATTCGCTGCCTCGGAAGGCCAGTAGAGAGGGTCACTGAGGGCTGGAGTCCATGTGAGGATAGGGGCCTCGCAGGGTCACCAAGGGTCAGCGAGGGCTGGAGTCCACTTGAGGACAGAGGGCTTGTGGGGTCCCCAGGGGTCACAGAGGGCTGGAG